GCTGCCGAAATTTCTACAGATTCAAGGAGTTAGAAAAGTTTTGACTTGTCAAAGTTCAGCTTGTCTTTTTGTTATATCTGACTTAGTAAAAATCTAGAAAGCCTGTTTTTCTCAAGGGAGTGCTGCTCAATTCTTTGCTAATTCAGGGAGTTACACAAAATTGGGCTTTGGAAAGTCAAAGTTAGTCCCCGGTTTTAAACTTAGCCTTGTGTAAATTTTGGGAGAGCACTTTTCTAGGAGGAGTGCTGCCAAAATTTCTGCAAAACTAAGGGGTTAGTCTAATTTTGTGTAAGTTGAACTCAAAGTTGGGAGCTGAGTTTAAATTTTAACTTGGTATAAATCTGGGAAATCCCGAATTCCAAAGGGGGTGTTGCCCAAATTTTTACTACTTCAGGGAGTTGGACAAAATTTGACTTTCCAGAGTTATAGATTACTCCGGGTTTTGATATTTGAGCTTGTATAAAATTTGAAAAGACACTTTTCCTACGGGAAGCGCTGCCGAAATTTCCTTGAATTCGAGGAGTTAGATTATATTTTGACACGTGGCGATTCTGTCCATCCACCCTGAATAGGGGAGATTTTGCGATTGGCCTACCTTTGCTTTGGGCACTGGCCTAGAGGCAGGCTTGAACGTAGTTGGAAGGTAGCTTTGAGTGAAAATGTGCTATGGAGGTTTATCCCCCATATGTTGATGATTTAGCTTAGGCATTTGACCTATCTTGTGTTACAGGTCCTTTGGGGTGTCTGATTCAAGAGCAGGACTAGATTCAGCTTGATCCCTTGAGGATCATCTTCTGTTGTCACTGATAACATTTCGATTGTCGATTCGTCGGTCTTCAACTCAATTCCAACTCACTCTCCATACTCAACCTAAAAGGTTGTAGCCCTGGTGGTCTTACTGTTTGTTAAGGGTTTTCACCCGGACTTTTATTGAATGGCCATTTAACAAAGGTACTGAGTATTTAATTGAGGTTGGTTGGATCGGCGATTGGGGCTTGCATGGCTAAAGCGAAGGGGTATGAGCATAGAGGATGGTTGGGGTTGACTCCGTGTAGTGCGTGTTTTGTCGTTCGATTCTTGGTGTGATTGCAGGTATGTCCTGTGGCTCTGGTGGTCGCGATTACTACGTACGATTGGCATCGGTGATTAGTATAGAATTGGCTTGCGGCCGCGCAGCTTTTAAGTTACAGTCCTCCGCGCGATGTCTCGCCACCCCAGCGTCTAAAAGTTATTGGATCGCTGGGCTCGCACGTAGGTGCAGCGCTTGGGATTATTGTAGGCCGCCGACACCACTCGTAGAGGGGAAGGGTACCCCAAGGTCACGAGCCCTTTTAAAGCAAGGGGATATTTTCCCTATTCCCTTTTCTTGTTTTCGTATGTGTTTCGTTTGCTTTTTAAGGATTATTATGGTAGGGCGTTATAGTCCGTGGCAGCCATCAAAGTCAAACCCCTTGACTTTCGCCCAGGCCCGGGGAGGACTTACCCCTGGGGCCGCGAGAGACGACTACCACCACACGCATGGACCTGTGTACCACCCACTCTGCATAAGGGTGCAGAAGAGGGTGTGTGGTCTTCAACCGTGCATGGCAGTTGTCTAGCGTCGAGAAATTAACCCTCAAGGCGCGTGTCAGCCGACACTTGAGTGTCGAACGTGACCCTCGAGATAAACGGGGGCTGCACATGTGTTGGTACCGTATAGTACGCTATCATCGCGACTGCTTGTGTACGCTTGCATTGCGAGTCGATATCAGTAGACCCTGCGTCCGTGCACTTTTATACTAAAGTCTCTCGCGCGACGCTTGTCCGGTTTTCCACAGTGGAAAGTTATGAGATGGCTACTAAGGGGCTAGGAGCGTTGTCGCATTGTCTGTGTTGTGTCGTGTTGTAGGTGTGTGTGGGTGTATGTATGTTTTATTTTAGTGTTCGTAGAGTGGTGTGCGCGTGGTGTGTGAGATGCGTCCTAGTCGACGAACGACGAGTCGCGCTTGGGACCTCAGCCCCCCAAGATGTCAGGTCGCGTGCGGGTCATATAGGCGTATTACCGCGCATACCCCCTATGCTACAGCGAACGAGAAACGCCCTCGGCTGGTCCACCTCTGCGATTGCAACTGATCAGTTTTCGTACAGTGGACTGGTAGCTCGGTGGGGATACGCCCACCGAAGGGAGGTGACAGCTCCCGTAAGGTGGAGGTAAGTTGTGCCTCGCGTAGGCCCTATCCTGTCGTAGGGGCTCGCGAGAGGTATGGCTGGCGCACTGGGCCGAAGCGGCCTAAGGAAGCTCCACTATGTGTGTTCGTGACGAGGTTGGTCCAACTTTTGCGTGACGAGGCCGAGAGGGTCCCGCACTGNACTGGGCCGAAGCGGCCTAAGGAAGCTCCACTATGTGTGTTCGTGACGAGGTTGGTCCAACTTTTGCGTGACGAGGCCGAGAGGGTCCCGCACTGCCGCGCGCGGTGCCGGACTGATGCGCTCGACATCGGTAAAATCTTGCGCAGACCATCCGTCAGTTTCTCAGGTTCTTTCATATATTAGTAATATAGGAGTTGAAAGTTGGGCAAGTCATGTTGGCGATTGCGGGAGATCTTGTAGAAGGGATCGTCATCTTACACTTGGCGGGGCTGACATGGAATAACCATAAAAAAAGAGATTGTTGTATCCTTCTGACTCTAGTGAGATCAGGGCACATGATCTGTGCGTCGAAAGGTAGATGGCATACCATGCAACCACGTTTGCCCAACTTTTTTCGTGTCTCGTTTTTCCCCGTCTGGATTTTTCCTATTGTTGAACCCCCGTCCCCCCTCCTCCCTCCCCCCTCCCCCCTGCCTCCTCCCCCAAACCCCGCACCGCCAACGACATCCTGTCCCATTAATGCCTTTGCGCTGATTTGGCCTACCTAGCTCCCGCATTTACAAGGTAGAATCCAGTGATGCTGACTAGTGTTTGTACTCGTATTCAAATGTGAACGGATGGACCACTAGGGTCTACCC